AAAGAAAGAAAGAAAGAAAAAGAAATAAAAGAGAGAAAGAAAATTATCAGTGTTCAGTGACTTTTTCATAATGATAAACTATTACACACAAAAAAATTTTCATGCTGATAAACTATTACATAGAAAAAGAAATGTATCCATTGTGGACTATTATGGACACCTGAAAGCAATATACAACCTCTCTCATTGTATGATTCTGGTTTTCTTTTCTTTCTTTCTATTTATTTATTTATTTATTGAGACAGGTCTCACTCTGTCACCCAGGCTGGAGTGCTGTGGCATCATCTTGGCTCACTGCTACCTCTGCCTCCCAGGTTCAAGAGGGTCTCCTGCCTTAGCCTCCTGAGTACCTGGAACAAAAGCATTCACCACCACCACTCCCAGCTAATTTGTGTATTTTTCAGTAGAAATGTAGTTCTGCCATGTTGAGCAGGCTGGTCTTGAACTCCTGACCTCAAACGAGCTGCCTGCTTTGGCATCCCAAAGTGCTGGTATTATAGGCATGAGCCACCACACCTGGCCTGATCCTGCTTTTTAACACAATTCTTAACACTTCTCTTTTAATTTTATGAAGCCATATGTTTTTAGTCTGGGAAACCTTTGATAAAGCATCTAGGTAAATTTATAAATAGAAAAATAAATTTATATACATAGACTTAAATTTATGATCTATCTAATGGGTGGCAACTGAAAAATTTCCAAGTTCCATAAACTGAAGTGAAAGGATCACTTTCTTAAAAATGTTACAAGGCTTGATAATTACTTGGATTGTACTAAAACCTACAAAATCTGGTATATTCTATAGCAGCAATTCATAAAGATAGCTTCATGTACCATGCAGAATTTATACCTACCCTGAATTTAAGGAATGCATTATTTGTTATTGGAGTAGGATAATAAACTCCCAGCAGAACTGATTTGCATGAATGCCTATTAAACTATCACTGATGTGGAAATTAAACAACATATTCAGCTATTCAGCCCCAGATGTGTGAGACACAAAGAACATTTTCAAAAGAAGTTGGCTACCAAATCCCTTCCTCAATAGCTCTTTGAGTCTCAAGACAGCTTCAACCACACACAGCCTCGGAGTCTTATGGTCCAAACCATATTCGATTGCAGCTCTAAAGTAAGCAGACATTTGAAAAGAAACAGTCAAAGGTCTATGCCTGTAGCTACAGTCAAGGAGTTCTACCTTAAGTGGGGGGTGACCATGGCAAGGATAGAGTCTAAGCCAAATGATGGGCTTACCAGAACAGAAGCAAGACAAGTCATCGGAAGCAGAGTCCAGGTTGTAACAGGAGCTCAAGCACATGATGTGGGAACCCTATATGTCTTAGTTAGCAGATAGAGTGCTACCATCCTGAGGCAGAGCTAATGGCCTTCTTTTTTTATTTTTTGTAATTGATTGCATAGTTTAGAATTTTGCCTTGAATTTAATATCTATGTGTTGAATAAATGAACTAATAATGATGAAAATCTGTCCACAGGTTATATGTAGTACTGAAGAATGACTTCAGCTAGTGAGGTATCTATTAGAAGCCTTACTCTCTAAAAAGCCTCTGGTTAATTATTGATATGGGTTGCTGACAATTTCACTCTCACAAGGTAGGGGAAGCAGGGATGCCATCTGGCCTCTTGGCCCCTCTTCCTTTGCCTTCCACAGCTTTCTCTCCTGGTTCACAGAGGGGCACTCTGGTGGCTCTCAACTCATTTTGCAATTCTGCTAGACTCTCCTTCCATCCTTAGTTGTAACCAGCTTGTCGTCTGCCCAACACTTATTCATGGAGGGGCAGACAGCAAGAAGAAATCACACTCTGGATTACAAAGTGGGAAGAAGCACCCCTTGGCCAGAATGACAGCCTCCTATGTTCATGATGGATATTTCTAATTGATCTTGCATTCTTTTTCATTGAGCCCATATCCCCAAATGGCCCGGAGTTAGGGAGAGGACTCTAGAGTGGGAAAGGTTTACCCAAAACTTCCCTAATCTGACTATCAAGCCTAACATAATCTTTACATCAAGAAGTAAAATTTAGAACATTTAATTCAACATCCCTTGCTTTTCCAGCTCAGAGTGACTGACGGTGTTGGAAGTCCCTACTCATAAAAATTCATAATTGAAAACTGTTGATAATTTTGCCCAATGTCCTTTCTCTGCCTAGTTACACCTCAAGGCAACCTCCCGGAAGGCCAACCTTAAGCGCAGCAGACCAACCAAGCATCTAAGCTGAGTTCTTATCAGAGCCAACTTCAATTATAAACAACTGAGATGACGCCAGAGGCTAGAGTCCCTGAGGACCCGATTTGCTGTTTTCACCGTGGCTAAAATAAAGTGCTTGGCATCTAGAAAAGCTGATCTGTAGGAAATTTCCAATAGAGTTCCATTTTTTTCTAAGTTTAAAATGTGTAATATCAAGGTCACACACCTGAGATAAAGCTAGGCTTGCATTTAAACAGAATAAAAACAGTGGAAGACTAGTAAGAGTGTGACTAATTTTACACTGGAATGTGTAAAACAAATTGGTTTTTCCTTGTGCCTTTAAAATTATGTGTTTTGTCAATGTGATACTGACATATTTATAATGAAGCATACTTTGTAAAATGACAGAAAAATATACAGTATTATTTACATCCACAAAGCTAGAAAAAGACTGTATGTCCCAAGAGTCTCCATCATCTACCCCGTGGCCACTTAACCAAATTACAATCCAAATACCAAAAAGAAAAGAAAATAACATTTGTGTTGTATGCCTTACAAGACCAAACCTATAAAATGAGGGGAAACTTCACAATTACTTGTAATTGCTCTGGGGAATTGTAACAGATGGACTATAAAGATGATTCCATGATAAACATCTAAATGTGGCTACTACCTTCTGTGCTTTCTTGGTTCATATTTTTATTGTTTTTTTCTTTATAAATAGATAATTCATTCTTATCCATGGCAATGCAACAATTTCGGAGGTATTGAGTATGTCATAGATTTTGTTTTGTTTTGTTTTTTTGTTTTTTTTTTAATTGTAGGTGTCTCTAAAAAGGCAGAGAAAACAAACAGAGCAAAGTCTGGTGTTGAAAAGAAGAGAGAAATAAAGCTTGCAAAGGAATGAAAATTTGAGCTTTTTAGAGACAAAAATTCTTAGATGATACAAAAACTAGTTACTGAATTAGATGAAGGTTCTTTTCCAGCTTTTCCCACTTGTTCATCTCTTAGAAGGCACTTATTCATGGCAGAAAAGAAAGAAAGGGTTAAAAAGAAAATACCTCAGTGTAGTGAGACTGTAATTTCATGAAGGCATTGCTGAAGACTCATCTTTTCCAGCATCATTCATCATGGTATTATGCATGTGTGCAATGTAAAGGAAAGTTAATACATATTCTTGGATGGGTGATCAAATCATGATTCCAGAATATAATCAGATGCTGATTCATTATCCTCTTGAGATTTCATAATCTTTACATCAAGAAGTAAAATTCAGAAGAGGGTAAATATATCTAATCTTTTCAAAGTTAAAAAATTAAGAGCTTTTCATACAGATAATTTGTCTTGCATCATAATCAGCACTAAAGAAGATCATAGATTTCTACCATATTTACATAGTTAAAACAATATAATGAAATATGCAATAATATATTATGTGACATTGTACAAGATGCTTTACAAACATCCAAACTGTTAAAACAATTTTTCATGAAATACCATTTTTAGGTAAAAGAATACAGATGTGGTTAAGGCAAAATATTTCTGCTCAAATTACAAATCCTAAATGAAAAATCACAGTATAGAAAAAAAAAATACATTGTACCTGAAATTCTAAGTCTTCAAATTTATTTAGATATATTTATGCTATTTTAATAAAGACATATTTAACTGATTATAAGCTTGTAACATTTATATTTTGAATATGTCATTCTTTAAAAAATTAGTAATGCTTACAGGATTGCTGCAAAGATTTTATTTTAAACACATACTTTTCAGTAATGTGACCAGTATTTATGTCCTATTTCACTAAAGAGATTTTTCAGGTGTCTTTGAAAGTGAATTTTTAAAAACGAAGTGTCACAAATATTTCTGAAGTGTTTCCTAAAAAAAGGACTGTAATTCATGAAATTAAAGTCATTTTCATAATGACTACAAAAGAATAAATTAAAAACCATAATTAAATTATAATTCTATTTTTTTATATCAGATGAAATACTATATAAAATGTCCAGCATGTGTTAATGAGGCTGTGCAGCCTGGACACTTGATGTCCCATTTGTGGGAATGTGAACTAGCCCAACCATTCTGAATAATTATTGGCTCTGTGTGTTAACAGGCTAGACTTCCGAAACCAAGATCCTAATTCTAAAATGAAATCCTATTCTAAGATTATACCAAGGGCTGATAATCAAGAAAGTTTCAAAGTTATAGAGAAGAACCTCCATCCTATCATTATATATATAATCATTCATATAAAACAGATAGTGTTGAATGAAAATGCAGAAAAACAAAAGGCATACAAAATATGTTTCCCTTTGTGTACAATTTCAAATGCACACGTCTATCCATGTAAAATTTTACATCTTAGAAGGATAGGCAGCTATATCTAGAAGATAAGAAATTTTACTTTCCTATAATTTCATACATATACACGAGTATATGTAAACATTACTATTTATATAGATACACACAAATGTAAATATTACTATTTATATAGAGACACACGCCAATACACACACACACACATACACAGATGGTCAACAACTTATAATGGTTCAGTTTATGATTTGTTGACTTTATGATGAAACAAAAGTGATAGCTTTCTGTAGAATATAACTATTTTGCTTTTCACTTTCAGTACAATAGTCAAAAGATTACATAAAATATCCAATACTTTATTATAAAATAGATTGTGAATTCAATTATTTTGCCCAACTATAGGCTGATGTAAGTGTCCTGAGCACTTTAAAGGTATGCCAGGCTACACTGTGATGTTCAGTATGTTAGGTATATTAAACACATTTTTAACTTACAGTATTTTCAATTTATGATCAGCTTATCAAGACATAACCCCATTGTACATTGAAAAGCACGTGTATTGCATTAAGCAGATTATATAATATTTTAATTGAAATTACTGGCAACTTTTGAAACAATAAAATGAAATAATGCACTTTGCTAGTGGTTAAGATGATTTTTGGCCAAGCATGGTGGCTCACACTTGTAATCCAGCACTTTGGGCTGAGGTGTGTGTATCACTTGAGGTTAGGAGTTTGAGACCAGCCTGGCAAACATGGTGAAACCCCATCTCTACTAAAAATACAAAAATTAGGTGGGTATGATAGTGGGTGCCTATAATCCCAGCTACCTGGGAGGCTGAGGTGGGAGAATTGCTTGAACTAGGCAAGCAGAGGTTGCAGTGAGCCAAGATCATGCCAACGCACTCCAGCTTGGGCAACAGAGTGAGACTCTGTCTTAAAAAAAAAAAAAAAAAAGTTATTTCCTTTAAGTAACAGAATAGTCGACTAATTGTAGAAAAAAACAAGGAGCAGCTTTTACCAAATTACACAATAAATATATTGTATTAAGGGTTAGTTAATTCAACATGATCCACTTCTCTTATGTTTTCAAGATGGGTATAGTATTCCCATCTTACAACTTAATGTGATAAAATCCCATAGCAGGAAAGGATAAGTGAGGGAATTTTAGAACTTTGAGGAAGAACTTTAAGGATTTGAAAATGTCCTGTAAAATAGGATAACCTCTCCTGATCAAGGACTGCTATTTGTCCTGAATGACTCTAACGTAATGAAGGTGAATAACGTGTTTTGTTTAATTATGTAAACCCAAATGTAACTGCCTAACTGCGAAGTACTTTTGCATGGTTTTAATATGCCATAAATTTTCCAGAAATGAAACTATTATGTTCATGAGAAAAGATGGTAGATTTTTTTGTTTAGATACTCATTTCATAGTCTCAATAGGAAAAAGATAACACAAACTAAGATAATTTAACATGGGTTAATTTTCAAAGAGTTTACTTATGAAAATGACAGTGGAGAAAGGTCAAGGGATCACAGGAATCACAACCCACAATAACTCTGGGTTAGTAGCAGCAGACAGAGTTTCGGGGAGCAAACTGCCCTGATCACACAAGGAAACACTGATTTTCTTATTAAAAAGAAAGATCAAGGAAACCTAGCAGAGATGGAGTTTAGGCAAAAATCCCCAATCCCATTTCCTCCTTTCCTTTAATCTCATACACATGCATAGGAGGAAAGAGCAAGGGAACCTATTGAGATATTCGATATGAACCATTTCAGTTGGACAAAAGCCAGAAAATAGGGGAGTATAGCTGGGGACAAGGGGCAAACAGAAAATATCTATCACATTTACCAATGCAGATCAATCATGTCAACAACAGAAATAGCAGTTTTTGTATTTGGTTATCCAATGAAACTATATTTGTAGCTATTTTTTTTCCTACAATGATTCAACATTTGATGGATGCAGATATAAAAATTTCATTATATTCTATTGTATGTGACATGTAAATGTTCTGGCCCAATTATATACACTTTGGATTAGATATTGATGTTAAATTATTTCTCCTTTGTTAGCTGCAGCATAACATTAAAATTTTCAACAACTTGAATGCATACATTGTGTTTTCACTAATAGTTTAGAATAGTTGAGGGGTCATTCAAGAATTTATGAAGTAGAGGCATTTCAGACAGAGATGAATGCCATTGGCTTAGAGTAATCACTATCTAATCAGGGCTAAAGAGGGCCAACTGAAGACACAGATGTCCAATCCCTGTATGAAGTAGGAATTCTATGAACCAGAGAAATAGAGACTGGTTCTTAGGGAGGTAATAAGTGTGCCTTCTATAGTATATAATACTATGTGCTGTCTTAACAGTCAAATACTTAAAAGTTAATGCCCCCATAATATCCAAAAGTTTTAGTAAGTACTTTGGTCCCTGTGTTCAAATAGTTGGCAGTCAAATTGGTGAAGTATGTTAAGTCTTTTGAAGAGCATTAAACAGCAAAGAATGTAAGAGATTTGTCTCTTTAATAGTGTGGGCCTTCTGTATTTCCTAAGGGCACATTCACATGATCCAATAACTGAGAAGAGAGAAGCGTAAGGGATAGCTTATGGTTTCGTTTGTCTGTTTTTGCCAATTAACGTAAATTTCTGGATTAAAGGTCAACTATCTCTTCCTTGGGAGTCATCTATAGGAGAAGCTAGGGAAGAGGCAAGGACAATTACAGCAGCTCAACAGTTTTGCCCTAGAAATATCCATATCGTGTACAGCTAAAGCCTACCTTTATCAGTCAGATAACAATGTCAAAGAGGCAAGCTTGGCACCGTTGCTCTTAGTGAATCCCTGCTGCCAGCCTTTTAACCTAAGTGCTCTCAAAACACTCATTTAATGGACCTTCCTGAAATTGTTCTCAAGATCAATATGAGGTTCATTGATACAGCATTTTTGGAATTCACCATTTGCTTCTTTATTAAACCTGGGATAGTTGCCCAACTTCTATCATCTGAAATCCTCTCCATGACTCTCAAAATTACCAACATTGGTTCCAACATCATTCCTAGAAAACTTTTCAGTGGAGTATATTTATCTGACATTTGACCTTATTTATAGCAGTAAGGCTCTATGATGATTCCACCACCAAATAATCCCACAATTACATATTTTGTGTCACTTTTGAAGGTCTTATCCTTAATATCAGAGATCCATTCTATACATTTGAATCTTAGAAACCATTACTAGCTTCTCTCTGAATTTAACTGAAATTTCTTACTTTTATTCCGCCTATTACCCAAATTACATAATGTATTGAAGGCTAAAAACTGTCCAAATTTATGACTACATTTAGT